TTCCACCACACTGCACCATTACTTCCAGCCCAACGAACATTCATTACGAGTTAGGAGTTAGGAACATCCAGTATGTTGGATACTTCTGATATTTTGGATGTGGGAAAAAAATCGCGTGAGGAAGGGGGAAAATATGCTGCTTCAACCCAATGTTCTCAAAACTTTTCAGGCCATTTCCCATGGCCCAAATTCCCTCAGTGGCCTGGAACTTTTAATTACATCCTCCACTTGCAACGGAATTGCTAATGAGGAATTCGGGCCTTGGACGGTTGCCATTATTCTTAGGATCCACCCCTTTTGTACTCTGACTGATTGGTTCCATCTAGGCAGTCAGTGGCTCGAACCATTTTCTTCAAAGAGGGGTAGCCCGGACCCTTGAGGATACTCCCATGGTAGGAGGTTAATTGCGTGTCATGGAGTCTTCTCCTTTCAGAGATATTTCCAGGTGTGCTGTTTGCTCCCCCCACTACTCCCCCCTCCAGCCGCCCCCTGCCGTGTACCCATCATGCATCTGTCTGGCGCTTGTCTTGGGAGTCCTTATCTGGACTTAGTCACCTCTCACTAGGCAGAGTGAATGGCAGAACAGGAATTGAATTCTAAAATGTACTGAGCACGGCAGTCAAAAGGTAAAAGAAGCAGAAATTTAATTTTAAATGTCTCTTCTGCTGCTTGGGAGGTGGGGCTGAGCTGAGGAGTGATCTGAGCTGAGGAGTGGGCTGAGCTGAGGAGTGGGCTGAGCTGAGGAGTGGGCTGAGCTGAGGAGTGGGCTGAGCTGAGGAGTGGGCTGAGCTGAGGAGTGGGCTGAGCTGAGGAGTGATCTGAGCTGAGGATTGGGCTGAGCTGAGGATTGGGCATGGTTGCTGAGTTGAATGCAGAGTGAAGTGTTCAGTGCTGCTGGATTAAAAGCATATGATAGGAGGGGATCCTTTTACTCTGGCACAGATCCTGAATTCTTCTGCACACTACCCTATAACACCAGTAGTAATTGTGAATCTCAAACTTGCTAATGACTTGAGTCTCATGTAGATGGAAATATCCTGCAAGAACTTCAATATTATCATATATTAAATGTATGATAATTCACACTCGATTTGTGTTAATACAGCTTTGATGCCACAGATCTCGACAGCATATGACTGAATTAATCATGAAGGAGGATTTGGACACTGATTCAAAATGGAGATGTTTGGTCAAAGTTACCAAGCATGCTTATCTTCTGTAATCTATTTGTATTCAATATTATATAATAACGGTAGGAGGTGCAAAATACTGAAAATGCAATTTCATGAGTAATCACTAAATGTATGCGTTATATTGGCATAATTGCTCTCTCTCTCTCTCTCTCTCTCTCTCTCTCTCTCTCTCTCTCTCTCTCTCTCTCTCTCTCTCTCTCTCTCTCTCTCTCTCTCTCTGTCTCTCTCTCTGGATTTATCTCATTTCGTCTTTCCAATGCGTTTTGAGAAGGAGAGGCAAGAGGATGTGAGGAATCTAGGAAAGATGATTTGAAAATGTGCCTCTTTTTCCCTCCTTCTCTGTTTATCCTTACATACAGTTGAAGTCGGAAGTTTACACACACTTAGGTTGGAGTCATAAACATTTGTTTTTCAACCACTCCACAAATGTCTTGTTAACAAACTATAGTTTTGGCAAGTGAGTTAGGACATCTACTTTGTGCATGACACAAGTAATTTTTCCAACAATTGTTTACAGACAGATTATTTCACTTATAATTCACTGTATCACAATTCCAGTGGGTCAGAAGTTTACATACACTAAGTTGACTGTGCCTTAAACAGCTTGGAAAATTCCAGAAAATGATGTCATGGCTTTAGAAGCTTCTGATAGGCTAATTGACATCATTTGTCAATTGGAGGTATACCCGTGGATGTATTTCAAGGCCTACCTTCAAACTCAGTGCCTCTTTGCTTGACATCATGGTAAAATCAAAATAAATCAGCCAAGACTTCAGAAAAAGAATTGTAGACCTCCACAAGTCTGGTTCATCCTTGGGAGCAATTTCCAAACGCCTGAAAGTACCACATTAATCTGTACAAACAATAGTACGCAAGTATAAACACCATGGGACCACGCAGCCGTCATACCGCTCAGGAAGGAGACGCGTTCTGTCTCCTAGAGATTAACGTACTTTGGTAAGAAAAGTACAAATCAATCCCAGAACAACAGCAAAGGACCTTGTCAAGATGCTGGAGGAAACCGGTACAAAAGTATCTATATCCACATTAAAACAAGTCCTATATCGACATATCCTGAAAGGCCGCTCAGCAAGGAAGAAGCCACTGCTCCAAAACCGCCATAAAAAATCCAGACTATGGTTTGCAACTGCATATGGGGACAAAGATCGTACTTTTTGGAGAAATGTCCTCTGGTCTGATGAAACAAAAATAGAACTGTTTGGCCATAATGACCATCGTTATGTTTGGAGGAAAAAGGGGGTCGCTTGCAAGCTGAAGAACACCATCCCAACCGTGAAGCACGGGTTGGCAGCATCATGCTGTGTGGGTGCTCTGCTGCAGGAGGGACTGGTGCACTTCACAAAATAGATGGCATCATGAGTAAGGAAAAATATGTGGATATATTGAAGCAACATCTCAAGACATCAGTCAGGAAGTTCAAGCTTGGTCGCAAATGGGTCTTCCAAATGGACAATGACCCCCAAGCATACTTCCAAAGTTGTGGCAAAATGGCTTAAGGACAACAAAGTCAAGGTATTGGAGTGGCCATCACAAAGCCCTGACCTCAATCCTATAGAACATTTGTGGGCAGAACTGAAAAAGCGTGTGCGAGCAAGGAGGCCTACAAACCTGACTCAGTTACACCAGCTCTATCAGGAGGAATGGGCCAAAATTCACCCAACTTATTGTGGGAAGCTTGTGGAAGGCTACCCGAAACGTTTGACCCAAGTTAAACAATTTAAAGGCAATGCTACCAAATACTAATTGAGTGTATGTAAACTTCTGACCCACTGGGAATGTGATGAAAGAAATAAAAGCAGAAATAAATCATTCTCTGTACTATTATTCTGACATTTCACATTCTTAAAATAAAGTGGTGATCCTAACTGACCTAAGACAGGGAATTTTTACTATGATTAAATGTCAGGAATTGGGAAAAACTGAGTTTAAATGTATTTGGCTAAGGTGTATGTAAACTTCCGACTTCAACTGTACATGTTGTTTCATTCTTTACCTCTGTCATTCTCATTCTATCATTAGTTCACGTTTTCATTTCTCTCCCACATTCTGTAATCTCTCTCTCTCTCTCTCTCTCTCTCTCTCTCTCTCTCTCTCTCTCTCTCTCTCTCTCTCTCTCTCTCTCTCATTTGCTCTGTCTTTCTTTCTACCTCTCTCATTCTCTCTCTCTTTCTTTCTCCCTCTCTCATTATCTCTCTCTTTCTTTCTACCTCTCTCATTCTCTCTCCCTTTCTTTCTACCTCTCTCTGGGAGATACAGTGTAAAGGAGATGAGCCCTAGACACCTCTTCATCCTGTTCCCTCCTCCTCAAACAGCAGATAAAGTGCTGGTCCAGCTCTTTTAGTCTGTCCGGAGAGCCCTATTAAAGCCTTCTGATCTCGCATGGGTTTTTTACAAAGACACCCGCACTTAGTGTGAGTGTGTGTGAGTGTGTATGTGTGTGTATGTATATTTGTATGTGTGTGAGTGTGTGTGTGTATTTGTGTGTGTAATTGTGTGTGTGTATATATATTTGTGTACGTGTATGTGTATATTTGTGTATGTGTGTGTGTGCTTATATTTGAGTGTGTGTTTATATTTGTATGTGTGTGTATATATGTGTGTGTGTGTGTCTGCTGTGATGATGCTGCAGCATGTGAGCTCTCACGTGGAGGTAGAGAGGAAAACACTGCCTGTTTGTCTCACTTTCTCTCTCATGTTCTCTCTATCCGTCTCTGCAGCTCTTTCCCAATCTCCTTATCCCCCTCTCTCCACCACCTTCTCCCTCACCCTCCCTCTACCATTCTCTCGCCCTCTTGTTCTCGGTGGTTCACAGATGCTCCGTGCTAAAATAAACTATTAGAGGACAATATAGAGATCCTTTAATGACCACGTCTGTTGTATTCTAATCTAGGGATCATGGCATACAGTCTCTCCCTCTCCGGGCTTATCTTGGCTTATGTGGATATGGACCGTACAGGGGGAGCGGAGCCAGCCGCAGATAAAAGAGAGAAGCTATTTTTGGGTGCAAAGACAAACAGAAGGTGACAGGCGCTCTGCAGAACAGAGGCGGTTAACTACAGCTGCAGGGAGGGAGAGCAAGGGGAATTATATGTTTAGTGAGAGAGATGCAAATAGAGAATGATATGTAAAGTCAGAAAGACAGAAAGTCAGTGAGAAAGAGAGAGAAAGCGAGAGAGAGAGAGAGAGAGAGAGAGAGAGAGGCAGATGGAGTAAATAGAGAAAGATATGTTTAGTGAGAGAGATGTAAATAGAGAATGATATGTAAAGTCAGAAAGAGAGAAAGACAGAGAGAAAGAGAGAGAGAAAGAGAGAGAGAGAGAGGCAGATGGTGTAAATAGAGAAAGATATGTTAAGTGAGAAAGAGAGAGGGAGAAAGAGAGAGAGAAAGAGAGAGAGACAGAGAGAAAGACAGAGAAAGAGAGAGATGCAAGCTGAGAGCAGTGAAAATCATTGAGAAAATTACAGAAGATACTTCCCTTTTTTAAATTGGCAGAACTGAAGAGCCAGCTTCATTGTTTCTCATATTTTTTTAAGCATCCTTGTAATGAAGTGCTGTCTCATGGTGAGATCCATTATTATAAACCCCCACCCCTATGTGTGTGTGGGTGTATGTGTGTGTGTGTGCGTGTGTGTTGTGTAAGAGTATTGTTTGTCCATGGATGCATTTTTTTCAGTTCACTCCCATTTGCCAATCACTGGCTAGCTATAAGCAATAGCATCATCACCCAATATCCACAATATTGCTTTCACCAACCCAGTCTGGGTGAGGAGGGAATGGTTGGGTACTCACACATTGAAGAGGTTGAGGCCGATGCGGTAGAGGCGCTTGCGCATGACGTCGGTTGAGAGCGTGGGCGATTTGCAGCTGGCCGGGTTCTCGCAGTGGTAGCGCGGCAGGCTTAGGATCATGGCCTGCAGAGCCTCCTTGGATGAGGCCTCCGATGCCGAGCGCGCCTCCGTGGATGTGCTGTTACTGCTGCTTATCTGCTCTGAACTGGTTTCAGCCGTCTCCGAGCCTCTCCGCTTGGCTTCCAGGGCCTCGGTGGATGGGGATCCCACCGAGGGTGCACCATCCTGGGGTTGAGGTGGCTGGACGGGCTGGACAACCACCTCCGGGGTCTGGGGGTTGGCTAGTTTGTCCAGGGGGGTTAAGGGGGGTTGCTGGCCCTCCTCCTCCTCCAGCTCCTCTTCACTGGGCGGGGGCGCAGGGAAGTCGGCGTCCTGCCCGTCTCCTTCTATCACTAGTTCCTGGGGCGGCGGGGACTCTTGGGGAGGGACAGGAGGGTCTGTGGGTTCGGTGGGGACCTCTTCAGGGGGAGGAGGGGAGGGCTTTTTAGGTGGTGATGGCGGGGTAGCGGTGGGCGTGGTGGGGGTGGTGGCTGCGCCCCCCTGCTGCTGCTGGACGCAGTTTCCCATGGAGACAGAGGCCGATGATTCCATGACGGAGGAGGACATGCGGAAGTTCTGATTGTCGATCTGAACGGTCACGTCGCGGAAGGCCATCAGCAGCTTGCTGGCGCTGCGGGGCAGGTCGCCTGGATTCTCCCCACCTGACATGCTCTGGAGAAAAGCCTGGTCCAACCCTCCTCCTCCCACCTCCCCTCCTCCCCCGGCCCCGACCGCACTGAAGGACTCGGCACTGAACTGGTAGGCCCCTCCTTCCTGGAGGGAGCACATGGTCTTCAGGCTCCAGTTGCTGAGTGCGTCGTCGATGGACTTGGCCAGCGACTGCACCTGCTCTGTGAATGAGTCCTCCAGGTCGGTCAGGGTGCCGCCCACTGTGGCGGGCAGTGATGGCGAGCGCACCAGGGGGATACCTGCCAGGCTGCAGCCTTCGGCCAGCGCCCGCTCGGCGGAGAAGCCCTCAGCGTTCTGCACGCGCACCTTGCGCATGGAGATGCGCCGCGGCAGGCGACTCTCCAGTAGGGAGTTGCGGATCTTCTCGAAGTTCTTGCTGAGCTGGTACTGGCGGAAGGCGGTCTGGATCTTGGTTGCGGCGCGGCGGGAGATGAGGTGGCCGCCGTATTTGTGCTCTAACATTTCGATCTGGAAAACACGGAGGAGAGGGAGACAGGAGAGGTATGAGTGAAACTGGGCTGCTTGGATATTTGAATGCTACATGCAGCAGATGACAGTACAAGGAAGTTGGGTAACAAAACATTCTATGACATGAAGAGGGGATTTCAATGTAGGCAAAAAATAAAAGCTGGGAGAAAACACAAACACAAAGCACATAAAAAATACCACTTAGCACTCGGTTCTCCCTCAAGATGAACAAGATGCTGTCTCTACGCACCAGCATCCACATTCAGAAAGACATGCCCTGAATACCTCTTCTTTAAATGGCCAAAAACACAATGGACTAATGAATGAGATAGTATAAAATACCCTCCTTTATGTTCCACTCAAATAAGGCTACAGTTACTCCAAATGACAAGAGGTGACCATGACGACCATTGAAACACAATGACATAGATAGGGTCTAATGCAAATGGACATGAACCTGAACATGTACAGTGCCTTGCAAAAGTATTCATCCCCCTTGGCGTTTTTCCTATTTTGTTGTATTACAACCTGTAATTTAAATGGATTTTTATTTGGATTTCATGTAATGGACATAAACAAAATAGTCAAAATTGGTGAAGTGAAATGAATAAAATAACTTAAAAATAAATAAATAATGGAAAAGTGGTGCGTGCATATGTATTCACCCCCTTTGCTATGAAGCCCCTAAATAAGATATGGTGCAACCAATTACCTTTAGAAGTCACATAATTAGTTAAATAAAGTCCACCTGTGTGCAATCTAGGTGTCACATGATCTGTCACATGATCTCAGTATATATACACCTGTTCTGAAAGGCCCCAGAGTCTGCAACACCACTAAGCAAGGGGCACCACCAAGCAAGCGGCACCATGAAGACCAAGGAGCTCTTCAAACAGGTCAGGGACAAAGTTGTGGAGAAGTACAGATCAGGGTTGGGTTATAAAAAAAAACTTTGAACATCCCACGGAGCACCATTAAATCCATTATTAAAAAATGGAAAGAATATGGCACCACAACAAACCTGCCAAGAGAGGGCCGCCCACCAAAACTCACGGACCATGCAAGGAGGGCATTCATCAAAGTGGCAACAAAGAGACCAAAGATAACCCTGAAGGAGCTGAAAAGCTCCACAGCAGAGATTGGAGTATCTGTCCATAGGACCACTTTAAGCAGTACACTACACAGAGCTGGGCTTTACGGAAGAGAGGCCAGAAAAAAGCCATTGCTTAAAGAAAAAAATAAGCAAACATGTTTGGTGTTTGCCAAAAGCCATGTGGGAGACTCCCCAAACATATGGAAGAAGGTACTCTGGTCAGATGAGACTAAAATTGAGCTTTTTGGCCATCAAGGAAAACGCTATGTCTGGCGCAAACCCAACACCTCTCATCACCCTGAGAACACCATCCCCACAGTGAAGCATGGTGGTGGCAGCATCATGCTGTGGGGATGTTATTCATCGGCAGGGACTGGGAAACTGGTCAGAATTGAAGGAATGATGGATGGCACTAAATACAGGGAAATTCTTGAGGGAAACCTGTTTCAGTCTTCCAGAGATTTGAGACTGGGATGGAGGTTCACCTTCCAGCTGGACAATGACCCTAAGCATACTGCTAAAGCAACACTTGAGTGGTTTAGGGGGAAACATTGAAATTTATTGGAATGGCCTAGTCAAAGCCCAGACCTCAATCCAATTGAGAATCTGTGGTATGACTTAAAGATTGCTGTACACTAGCGGAACCCATCCAACTTGAAGGAGCTGGAGCAGTTTTGCCTTGCAGAATGGGCAAAAATCCCAGTGGCTAGATGTGCCAAGCTTATAGAGACAGCATGGTGTTATATAGTAGAGTGGGGTCACGGATAGGGTCTTCAGCAGCATGGTGTTATATAGTAGAGTGGGGTCACGGATAGGGTCTTCAGCAGCATGGTGTTATATAGTAGAGTGGGGTCACGGATAGGGTCTTCAGCAGCATGGTGTTATATAGTAGAGTGGGGTCACGGATAGGGTCTTCAGCAGCATGGTGTTATATAGTAGAGTGGGGTCACGGATAGGGTCTTCAGCAGCATGGTTTATATAGTAGAGTGGGGTCACGGATAGGGTCTTCAGCAGCATGGTGTTATATAGTAGAGTGGGGTCACGGATAGGGTCTTCAGCAGCATGGTGTTATATAGTAGAGTGGGGTCACGGATAGGGTCTTCAGCAGCATGGTGTTATATAGTAGAGTGGGGTCACGGATAGGGTCTTCAGCAGCATGGTGTTATATAGTAGAGTGGGGTCACGGATAGGGTCTTCAGCAGCATGGTGTTATATAGTAGAGTGGGGTCAGGGATAGGGTCTTCAGCAAGATATGCTGATAGTAAATGATCTTGGCAGAAAAAAGGCATATTTAGGAGAGGGAGAAAAACGTGTTACTGTCTGCGTTATATCTGTGTGGCCAAACCGTTCATTGCCTTCAATTAATCAGAACCACTATCTGTGGGTGCGATTGAGATGCACACTTCTCTCTCTACTACACTGAATCATCTGAAAGCTATTAATTGGGCCTGGAAATAAATGACTGTGAGATAAAGATAGAAGACAGAACTGAGGCAGTTCTGATTTGATTTGGGAAGGGATAAAATAACGTATGGAACCTTTCCCTACTCTCTTCACAGAACAATCAGAGTCTGAACATCTCTGAGAGCTGTGAGAATTCTATATATTTCTTGAGTTTCTTTGTATTTGATGGCTGTGGCAATCTCTGGCCTATGGATGTGTCAGTTATACCTTCTTCAGTTAAACTAACTGGGTCAACCCTTTACACTCTCCTATGGGTTGATCTCTCCAATGCTCTCTGAGAACATAGAGAATGTGGTGCTATTCTCCATCTTGCCACTAGGTTTCCGACATATGAGTGTCTGCTCAGTTGAGGACTTGAGCCGGTGAAAGGATCCGGAACAGATATGGACACAAGGATTAAGTCCGTTCACGTCAAATATCCCCCTGTGGCTCAAAGGCAATTGGGTGAATGGTTTTAGAAGGGATTTCGGGGCCACCAGGGGATCAACGTGTGACTTTCGATCGCAAATCTCCCTCTGCAGTCCCAAACAAAGTCACCTGCCTCCTATGGACTTCTGTGGGGAAGAACAGATAGCCAGGCAATAATGCCCACTAGGCTTTGCAATTTGCGATAAGTGGGGTGGCTGCAGCATGATGCAATCTCGCCCCATTGTCATTTGGAGAACTCTATCCCTTAGAAAGGCTCTTTAGAAAACCAAAATGACACTGAGAAATCCATCTTATCGGCTCCCTTTTACATTGCACTGCAGCGAGGCCTCTGTGAGAAAGGGAAGAGATGTTGGGAGAATATTTAGGTCGTTCTGAATGAGCCCGGCACTTTTAGCTATAGTCTATAGTCTCTCTGCAGCATCTCACATTGAAAACGTCGCTTTCTCTTTCCCGCATACCGGGATCGGGCCTTGCCTTGGATATTCATCACTTTTTATCTATCTGGAATGTTCCGACAGATGGAACTTTGAGTACACACTCAATATGACAAAGTCAGCTTCGTCACTCTGCTGACTTCGCCTGGACAGAATGGGGAGGCTTAAAAATACAGAGTTAAGGTAATAACCACGACTCATCACTCAGAAAGGTGTAGCTCGTCCAAACGAATTACAGAAAGAATGTCTGAGGCAGAGGTAGCCTTGGATCTGAGCCGGGAGCTTGGAGGGGGCTGCGTTTGATTAAAGGCAGCAGTTTGGCTTGTTTGGCTTTGCCTTCTGAATGAGTTGGTAGGGGACGGTGCATAAAGAATATAGGTCATGTCACAGCTTTATCTGAGCCTGTATCTCTTTGATACACTCTGCCATCTCCATTAGACACTGAGAGCCTGGGTGAGCAGGATAGAGAGATGGTGGGATGGAGGGAGGCAGGGGAAGGTGGGTAGTGGAACTAAAAGAGGTAGACTGAGGGGCAATGGAGATACGGTAGAGCAGGGCTCTCCAACCCTGTTCCTGGAGAGCTACCGTCCTGTAGGTTTTCACTCCAACCCTAATCTAGCGCACCTGATTCTAATAATTAGCTGGTTGATGAGCTGAATCAGGTTAGTTACAACTGGGGTTGGAGCGAAAACCTACAGGAGGGTGGATCTCCAGGAACAGGGTTGGAGAGCCCTGTGGTAGAGGTATAAAGCAGGAAAAGGGAAAATAGGAAGACATTGGAAAGAGATGGATGAATGGAGAGGTTGGGAATTAAAGAAAGGCAGCGAGAGAGGGAGCCAGCTGTCAATTCTGCTTCTGATCACTTCACTATGCGCTGACGAAGAGAGATCATTCCAGGGACGCCATGGCCTGAGGGAACGGAGATGACACCGCTCTGTTCCGCCCGGGCTGCCAAATCGGGTTTGACAGGCGGATCAGTGCCGGCCTGACCCGATGTTCCCGCAAGTCACCGGGAAACAATGGGGAAAAACATCCCGACAAAATGGTACATCCCGACAAAACAGTACCAAGGCAGGCGCTCTGATATGGGAGGGGAGATGGAGAGATGGGGATGTGAGATAGTGAGATGATGGGATGAACATTAACAGTCATAAGGTGAAAAGGCTAGCTTTCAAAAACCTTTCCAGGTATAAAGACATCCCAAAACAGTGGAATTAGAGAGTACACACAGTAAAGGTCAAATGTCAAGTTTGTGTGAATTTCATACAGAAAGAAAGTTTTGAGAACTCTTTAGAAAAATGTATTTCTAAAAAGCTGAGATAACACCGATCTAACATGAGGGAAATGGTCGTTTGGGGTTATAATATGGTTTGATAACCGAACGTAACACTAGGGGGTCAAAGGGTGAGAGCCTAGTGGAGTTTATAGGGCAGATAGAATTCAGACACACAACCAGGCTTTTGACTTTATGAGCGTATGGAGGTGCTGCTGATGGACTGAAGCAAGACCAGTCTGGGTATGAGAGATGGGACTCTGCCTCTTTGCCACTGAAATATTAATACCCTGAGGCTTGCAGAAATAGCGCATTCAGAGTGTATTTTCGGGGGGGGATGTTTATGCCACGAATAAAAATGGTTTCCAACATTAAAGGTCAGACTGTCTATGGAGAACAATCTGTTTTTTTATGTGCTATTTTTTTGTTCTGGCTTATCAGATCTGGCTATTCAGAGAAATGTGCTATGGATAGTATCTCTTGGCCTTCTCCCTGGCTGCATTCATCTGGGTGAATAGTCTCCAAGGACGAGCTGGCATTCACAGTCTGTCACGCAACCCATTCACTTCATCTCACCAAATGTCACAATACAGGTGGACAACAAAATGAACACGCACACACACTCAGCCTGAAGTCAATTATGAGCTAAACACACTGCAGGGATTTTGAATAATTTTGAGTTCAGAAAAAGTTATCCTCAGTTGAATTTGTTCGTTCATCGTATTCATTGACGTTTACCTTAGTGACCCATGCATATTTATGAGTGTCACCCTCTAATTGAACTCTGGCACAGAGTTTAAATAGCAGATTATTCAATTTGCATGCAGCAAACACACAGTTGAGAGGGCACGACTAATGCTACCTCCTAATTATAAGCTCATTCATGTCAAGTCCGTTTTTTTGCACCATGAAAATTGTCAACTTTACATGATTATGGCGTTATACTGTGCTTTGTAACATAAAAAGGGCTACAGCTAATTCTGAGAAATAGAGCACCAATCAGAACAGCTCTTACTGTTTATCAGGAATGGAGATGCATTTGGTGCCCACAATGTAAGAGAGTCAAGCAATAACCTACAGTAGGTCAAGCACAGGAGGTTGGTGGCACCTTAATTGGGGAGGATGGGAGCGGGATATGTGGAATGGTGTTATTATGAGCTGTCCCCTCAGCAGCCACCACTGAGGTCGAGTAAGTAGTTGACTTATTGAGCATCGACTTCAACCCTTTGAGGTCTATTCACTTTTCTTGTGAGAAGAAGTTGGAGATTCTACGTTCACTTCTCAAAAGGCATAAATAGTGACAGTTCAACCGACGCAAAAAGCTGGCAGAAGATAAAAAATGACTTGACAGGATTCCATCGACCCGTCGCTCAAAACATTTAATCTCTAGAACGCAAACCCGTCAGGTTGTAGAGTGTTGAAGACGGGATACGATCAGTTTTCACTGCTCTCAGCATACCCAGCCGACGGTGTCATAAAATGTGCTAATCCACCCATTTCTAAGCATCAACAGTTTAAAGACGCTCGGGTAAACATATTGAACTTTCAGACGTGGAGCGCCTCTCCTCCCCCCCCAAAAAACATGCTTGAAAAGTTAGGTTGATGCGGATTACTTAGCTCGCATTTCCATAATGGCGTTGTGAGATGTATTGCTCATAAATATCCCCTCTCTCTGGCGGAGGTTTGGAGTGTGATTTTGTGGGAACACAGGCAGCCTGATAACATCCATCACCCCGCCGCTGAGAAACACTACAGAAATAAATGAAGTTTGATTAATGGGGCTCAAATCCAATGCTTTCTCAAGAAGGAATCTGCAGCACAAAAAGGCAATTATGGGCCCAGAGACAAAATGGTGGGAATTTGACAAATGGGACTCAGGGAAAAGCCACTAGAGGGAGCCTTCATCAACCAGCCTATCAACTGGGATACTTGTACAACTAATGGTATTAGACCAAATGTTATTGTACAGGACTGATTGGACCCACGCGATTTACTTGCAATGAGCTCTCTACCCCCAAAACCACCTACAGAGCAGGCTATGCTGTGTGAATGTATTTTGTATAAAATCACATGGTGGTTAAGCTTATCCTTGAGCAAGGAGATTCTAATGACAGGAATATTGATTTCAGAGTACATCAAAAGCCTTTTGTGAACACTACCTTTGTCCTGGTCATGATTAACTATGATTGTACTAATTTACAATACTTACATAGCCAAATAGCAAAATCTTGGCTCTGAAAAACGTTCACGTTAAATATAGAGTGAACAATATACTCTGGCATTTTGCCTATGAAAACTCTCTACGTGAGCACATATTGTATAAACAGCCTTAGGGGCTGTTGCTGCAGTAATCAAGGTATCGTCCTTGTGATGGCATCACTCTGACGCTAATCTGTGGCAGGCCCTACTCCTCCACCCGTAGGCTGTGGACTGAAACCTCATCTGGGGTTCCTCTCTCCGGACAGAAGATCAATCTAACACATCAGACATGTGAAGCAATGCTGACACAAAGAGAGGGAGGCAGTGATGGAGATAATCTTTACAAGAGAGATTAAAAGAGTGACGAGGTGGGGGGGTTTAAATCTTAATAAGGACTCGAGGTGAGCGTAAGGGAGATAAGGGGTGAAATATGGGTGAGGATGAGGGTGATAAGGGGTGAAATAGAGGTGAGGACGAGGGTGATAAGGGGTGAAATAGGGGTGAGGATGAGGGAGAGTAGGGGTGAAATAGGGGTGAGGATGAAGGTGATTAAGGCGTGAAATGGGGTGAGGATGAGCGAGAGTATGGGTGAAATAGGGGTGAGGATGAAGGAGAGAAGGGGTGAAATAGGGGTGAGGCTGAGGGAGAGTAGGGGTGAAATAGGGGTGAGGATGAAGGAGAGTATGGGTGAAATAGGGGTGAGGATGGAGAGTAGGGGTGAAATTGAAAATTAAATACAGAAATATCTAATTTACATAAGTATTCACACCCCTGAGTCAATACATGTTAGAATCACCTTTGGCAGTGATTACAGCTGTGAGTCTTTCTGGGTAAGTCTCTAAGAGATCTGCACACCTGGATTGTACAATATTTGCACATTATTCTTTTTTAAATTCTTCAAGTTCTGTCTAAGTCGGTTGTTGACCATCGCTAGATAGCCATTTTCAATTTTTGCCATAGAATTTCAAGGTTATTTAAGTAAAAACTATAACTAGGCCACTCAGGAACAGTCAATGTCGTCTTGGTAAGCAACTCCAATGTAGATTTGGCCTTGTGTTTTAGGTTATTGTCACGCTGAAAGGTGAATTTAACTCCCAGTGTCTGTTGGAATGCAGGCTGAACTAGGTTTTCCTCTAGGATTTTGCCTGTGCTTAGCTCTATTCCGTTTCTTTTTATCCCCCCCAAAAATGAAGAGTGGTACTCAGTGATGTGTTGTGTTGGATTTGCCCCAAACATAATACTTTGTATTCGGGACATAAAGTTCATTTCTTAGGACAAATGTTTTGCTTTAGTGCCTTATTGCAAACAGGATGCATGCTTTGGAATATTTGTATTCTGTACAGGCTTCCTTCTTTTCATTCTGTAATTTAGGTTAGTATGTTGTTGATCCATCCTTAGTTTTCTCCTATCACAGCCATTAAACTCTGTAACTGTTTTAAAGTCACCATTGGCCTCATGGTGATATCCCTAAGCGGTTTCCTTCCTCTTCGGCAACTAAGTTAGGAAGGACACCTGTATATTTGTAGTAACTGGGTGTATTGATATGCCATCCAAAGTGTAGTCAATAACTTCATCATGCTCAAAGGGATATTCAATGTCTGCTTTTTTTATTTTTTATCCATCAACCAATAGGTCCCCTTCTTTGTGAGGCATTGGAAAACCTCCCTGGTCATTGTGGTTGAATCTGTGTTTGAAATTAGGTACCTTACAGGTAATTGTATGTGTGGGGTACAGAGATGAGGTAGTCGTTTAAAAATCATGTTAAACACTATTATTGCACACAAAGTGAGTCCATGCAACTTATTATGTGACTTGTTAAGCACATTTTTACTCCTGAACTTATTTAGGCTTGCCATAACAAAGGGGTTGAATACTTATTGACTCAAGACATTTCAGCTTTTCATTTTTAATTAATTTATAAAAACATAATTCCACTTTGACATTATGGGGTATTGTGTAGGCCAGTGACACAAAATATAAACGTAATCAATTTTAAATTCAGGCTGTAACACAATAAAATGTGGAAAAAGTCTAGGGGTGTAAATATTTTCCTGAACCAATACTTGGTCTTGAGGTGTGACTGATGATCTGTGTGAGAGCTGGAAATGGAAAGGTTGCCTTACCTGGTTGAAGGTCATTGGACGAGATGGGAATGTAAAGGTTACCTGGTTGAAGGTCAGTGGACGAGATGGGAATGGAAAGGTTACCTGGTTGAAGATCAGTGGACGAGATGGGAATGGAAAGGTTACCTGGTTGAAGGTCAGTGGACGAGATGGGAATGGAAAGGTTACCTGGTTGAAGGTCAGTGGACGAGATGGGAATGGAAAGGTTACCTGGTTGAAGGTCAGAGGACGGGATGGGAATGGGGTGGTCAAGGCCCCTCATATGCAGATGAGTGTCTGATGAATCCAACGTCTCTGATGAATGGGATGATGAGAACACACACACACACACAGGTAAGCACAGGCACACACACACACACACGGACGCACACACAACAAACACACATGCAAGCACAGGCACACACACACACACACACACAGAGTTCACGTACAGACGCCCACACGCCCACACGCACGTACACACACACATCATGCAAATAAGTTGTGAGACACAGAACAGGGAGATGGGTCTCTGTATGTTAGCATGGCCATCACACATGGATGATTTCCTGAACACTTACTACATGTACAGTAGAGTTTCTAGTCTAGACATGGCAACTCTGAACATATGATGTTAAGGTGAAAACAACATAAGACAAACAGACCAGGAGAGAAGACATGAGTTTAGTCCATGCATGCAGTACAACCACCATCGGGAATATTACTTCATTATGTTACCATGACGATGCATCATCTATACAAGAGAATGTGTGATTGTGTGAGTGAGAGAAAGAGTTGGCGGGAAACAACTACATTTTTTCCATTTGAAAACCCCCCAGACACTTAGACACACAGTGTGAGCCATTCGTTAAACAGCAAGCTGCCACACAGCAGCAGAAGGTACTGTGAGAACAAAACACACACCGCCTCAGTGAAAGGTCACCGTTCCACATCTGTTCAAAATAAAAAAGCCATGTTATGTCAATGAAGGTGAAAATGACAATGGCGATGATGATGATTCATGTTAATGAGGAAGACAGCTAGACTCAACAACCCAAAACACCCTAAGAACATCTGCAGAGCCAACTTCAAAGGCAAATAATGTCAATCAAAGGCCAGCAGAGGCCAATCCACAAAAAAACAGCCATAACAAACAAACAATCCCAGGTGCACCAAAACAACAACAGCCTCAACAGACAAAACAAACAGCCTTGACCTCAGACAGAACCTAAACAAACGACCACAAAGACCACAAGACATACAGTACAACCCAAGCCGTCCCCCACCCCACCCCCCCACACACCCTACCTGCTTGTTTTTGAGGTCGAGCGAGAGCTCGTAGTCGGAGGTGGCGGAGTGCGAGCAGGCCCCGTTGCGCTGCACCCTCATGGGGGAAGCTGTGTGGTGCAGGCTGGCCCTCCTCCCCGCCGCTCCCCCCCGGGCCTCTGCCCCCTCCTCTTCCTCCTCCTCCACCTCAGCCTCTACTGCCACCTCTCCCTCATGCTGCTGCTCCTGCTGCGTCTCCACCACCTCTTTCTGCTTTATCTCCTCCTCCTCCTGCGCCTTATCTCCTCGCTCTCCCTCCTCCTGCTCAAGTTCCCCTCCGCTAGGTGAGCGGGAGGCTGCGGGGGTGACCTCCTGCTGTGCTTCCCCCACGCTCGTGCCCTCGGGTTTGGGCTGAGGCTGGGGTTCAGGTTGGGGCTGGGCTTGGGGCTCATGCTGCTGGGGTTTGGGCTCCCCTTCTCCCTCTCTCTGTCCCTCCTCCCCCGAGGGTGAGTCTGGAGGAAGGTCATCGCTGCAGAAAGGAGGAGAAAACGGCAGAGTGAGGTTTCTGCTTCCTGCTGGCTGACCTTTGACCTCTTCTCCAGGCTGGCTGGCTGGGTCGTAGTAGGGGGTTTGACCTCTGTGTGAACCTCTCTCTGTGTCTCTGGTGATACGAGGTGTGTGCATTGTCAGAAGAACAGGAGTCTGTGAGTTTGTCTGTGTGTCAGCGGAGGCTGTCCGGTATAGACAGCACAAGCACAGAACAGAACAGAGGACACTATACGACCACAGTGCATGTCAGTTTCAGTATTCAAAAGAGGACAGACACACTGCATCAAGACCACACAGAGGAGTTATTATGAGGACACACGAAGAACAACTTTGGGGGAATCCGACAGCGACACACAGACATGATATACAGTCATGCAGCTACAGGGTAAGTACAGGACTAGACTGTCTCCACAGGGGCAGCCTGAGGTGTGTGTATGTCTGCGTGTGTGTGTGCGTGCGCGCATTAGCAAGTGTGGGATAGCAAATGTGTGCATGTGAGCGCCCGTGATTGTGTGTGTGCGTACAAGCGTGTGTGTGTGTGTTGGCTTTTAGAAAGGGAATGGGGATGCCTGTGAAGTGTGAGCTGCTGTGGGCATTGCACTGTACACAGGACCACAGCATACTGTAGCTACTGTTGTGTTGTTGGGGACTCGGGGGCTGTCACAGTGTTTGACGGAGTGGAGCTGTGTCTTTGTTTTAGTGTCACACTGATATTACGGTGGGACCACGGGGCTCTCTCTCTTTCTCTGTTGCTCATCCCCTCTTCCTCTCTCCTTTGTTGGCTGTCTCTCCATCACTCTGTTCTTCCCCCACCTCTCTTTCACCTTCTCTCAAATGCTGTCTATTCTTTATCATAATTTGTATTTTATTCACTATTTATCCCTTTTTCTCCCCAATTTCGTGATATCCAATTGGTAGTTACAGTCTTGTCATATCGCTGCAACTCCCCTACGGAATCGGGAGAGGCAAAGGTAGAAAGCCATGCGTCCTCCGAAACACGACCCTGCCCAGTCGCACTGCTTCTTGACACACTGCTCGCTTAACCCGGAAGCCAGCCCCACCAATGTGTCAGAGGAAACACTGTACAACTGGCGACCGAAGTCAGTGTTCTCTCTCTCTCTCTCTTCTCTCTCTCTCTCTCTCTCTCTCTCTCCTATCTCTCTCTCTCTCTCCTCTCTCTCTCTCTCTCTCTCTCTCTCTCTCTCTCTCTCTCTCTCTCTCTCTCTCTCTCTCTCTCTCTCTCTCTCCTCTCTCTCTCTCTCTCTCTCTCTCTCTCTCTCTCTCTCTCTCTCTCTCTCTCTCTCCCTCTCTCTCTCTCTCTGAATTGCCAAAGCCTCTCACAGTCCCATTGTGGAGCCCAGAGCCCCAGTGTTACTGTTACTGACAGACAGTCTCCCATCTCTGGAACTGACAGACTGATCACAGAGCTCTATCCACTACCCAACATTACTGCTTCTCCAATGTCCAATGTGTGAGCCACAACAAGTAACAAGCCAGTCTGTCGGAAATTGTCAATAAAACATGTCCTGTCCTCTTGTTAGAAAAACACAAATCCATGGTAAGTATGAGAAAAATAATAATTTAGATGTAATATATGTTTCTATGGGAGTGTGTATGCAAGACAAAGAAGTGTTACTGTTCTCTTGATAAAACTTTGATAGGTCGGCCTACATTGCTGAGGGAAAGTGACTAAGCGTGAACTCCATTGTGGCAGCTTTTCATGTCTTTATCTGAGTTGCTGAGCCTCTTTAGTATTCTAGATCTACGTCAGGCCAGATGATGATTGATGTATGACACGGCCAAGCATTCCTTTCCCCCCGGTTTCAAAGCAAGACACATCAGTTGGTTGAATGATATCCTCTTGAGTGTTTGTTTCTGTTCTTTCTGTTTGAAGTTTAATGGAACTGAACCACTTGATTCGGTTCTTTCTGAGAGAAGTTTAATGGAACTGAACCACTTGATTCGGTTCTTTCTGAGAGAAGTTTAACGGAACTAAACCACTTGATTCGGTTCTTTCTGAGAGAAGTTTAACGGAACTGAACCACCTGTTTCGGTTCTTTCTGAGAGAATTCTGTGCTATGTTTGGTTCTACGTCTTCGTAGCTCTACGGTCGACAGTTCAAATAACATAAGTGTGTTTTCATGGACACATGAGAGAGAGAGAGAAAGAGAAAGAGAGAAAGAGAGGAAGAAATACTTTTATATGCTAGGTCGGCACACACAGGCATGTGTTAAAGGCGTGTGTCCTTGGTGCTCCGCAGTACTGCAGGGATGTGTCGTATCTGTGTGTGTGTGTGTGTGTGTGTGTGTGTGTGTGTGTGTGTGTGTGTGTGTGTGTGTGAGATTGTCTTTATTACTGTCCAGTATAATGTCCATTAACATGGTGGAATCCATCCGGGGGTATCACAACCCACTGTCTGCTTAAAGCTCTTCTTTAACATGCACTATTGAAACAATGCCGCAAAATTACCCCTGAATGTATTTGAAATCTTTAGAATTTAGGCCATGTTTTGTATCGATCGCTTTTCCTCTTATTTGACAGTGGCTGTGACCGTAGCGAGCAAAAAATCGGAACATTTCGGCAAAACATATGCAGCACTGCAAATGAGTACTGGAAGAGGAGAGATTCCCCCTGAGGGTGTTAAAACAAGGCTTTGCAGCGAATACGGAGCTGCAGTCAAAACAGCATACTGTAGTGCCGCATCATCATCAAAGCAAGATTGAACAATCTAACTAATTCCTCAAACCTCAGAGATGAGGAAAATGAATACATAAATGGGGGACTGGAGTGTTGTGTCGTGTGTGTGTGTCTGTGTGTCTGTGCATGCGTGTATAAATGTATGTATGCGCGTGTGTCTATGCATGCGTATATCTGCATGTAAGCACAGTACACTTGCTTACTTCTTCACGTGTTCCACTATTCCTCGCCAATGCATTTACCCTAAAACATTTTACCCACACGATCTATGCGCACTGCATTGCCAACAAAATCCCATTCAGTTTTCATTTGCTCCTCACATTCTGTAGGTCTCTGCAACAACTCTGCATTTTCATTGCAGCTAAACAGCTTGTGAGGCAAACAGAAAGTATCTTCTTAAGGACGGGGCGTGTTCTCAAATGGAGCTGGCATATGAATAATGGATGGCGAAATAAAGCCTGGGCGCCTCGGCACTCAGCAGGTGTGTTTGGGCTTTCGGGGTAAAAATACATCCTGCCCGAGACAGGGAGTTATTTTCTTTCAGGAAGAGTTTCTCTGTTTTTCTGTTTTCTTTTGTTGTCGTGACGAATCGAATCTCTGTTTCCTGTTGTTCGCCCCCCAAAGAGTGAAAAAAGTAGTTCTGGTGAGCATTGATATGTCGTATTGATATCTCAAGAGACAGGGTAACAGAGGAAGGACATGGAGGGACTATAGTGTATACGACAGGGGGGATACAGTTTACAGGGTGAACAGGACAGACAGGTGAAGAGCAAACAGAGAAGAGCACAAGCTACGGAGGTATGTCGATGCCATGCAGCTACAAACAAACAGAAGAGCGCACAGTGAGACAGTGAGACAGAGGTGTGTGCTTGCATATGAAACTATATAACTATTCTACTCCCTCTTCACTTCCACTACAACGCCTTTACCTCTTTCCTCTCTCTTTCTCTCTCTAATAATCCATCTCTCCTCTAGCTCTCTCCCTCCCTCCCTTCCTCCCAATATATAATGCTCCCTGCCCCCCTTGTGTCTCTCTCTCTCTATCTATCTCTCTCCCCACATGCCTCTGTCCCACCTTCCCTCTTTCCCTTCCTTCCTTCCCCTCCATCCCTCCCTCCTTTCCTTCCCTTCCACCACTCCCTCCCTCCCTTCCTCCAAATGCATCATGCTCCATGCCCCCTCCTTCCCCCCATCTTTCTCCCTCCACTGTGGGCTAAGGAGAATGAGTGGTTCCAGGTGTCAGGGTGACTGACGGGGCAAAGACAGGCTGCTGCTACCTGACCACTCTCTCGCTGCCTAGATAAGACTCTTGCTCGCGTAGTCTATAGATCGCGGAGAGCATCTCTCAAAGAGCGAGGACTCTATTTCCCGCTCTCTCGTCGGCTATCGATCTGATTCATCGAGCTTCGCTCTCTCTCTATCACCTCTCGAGTCTCGATATCTGCTCTCCTCTAGATCTATATCACGAAACCCATCTAACACCTCTACTCTCTCTCTCTCTCTCTTCTCTCTCTCTCTCTCTCTCTCTCTCTCTCTCTCTCTTCCTCTAGCGCATGCTCTCTCCTCTCTTTCCATCTCCTCCCTTTCTCTCTCACTTCTCTTTCTCTTCTCTTTCTCTCTCTCTGCCAGGAGACAGACAAGTGCAGCCAGCCTCCGTTGCATTGTCATTAGAATGTAATTATAGTGCTGACGGCTCGCGCTCAATAGTGACCGCTAACGCCTGCGCAAGTCTACGTGAGCCGACCGGGCGTGTTAATGCGAGGTTGGTTGATGGTTGGTTGTCTGCATTGTGTTTGGTTAGCTGCAATAGTGTTGCAGCAGTTTCCTTTCACGGTGACATCAAAGTGTTGGCTACCCAGGGTTGGGGTTTATCTCCTACATTGTCCATCCTCTTCCCTGACTTTACTGTATACTGCTGTTGCTGCATTAAAGGGAAGATTCAGCTTATATGTTCACTGCACCCTGCATGCAGAGCGTTTTCATATGCGTGGCACACACTTAATGTTGTGTGTTAAAGGCACGTGTGTCCTTGGTGCTCTGCAGTACTGCAGGGTTGTGTTGTGTGTGGCTTTCTGTGTGTGTGTGTGTGTGTGTGTGTGTGTGTGTGTGTGTGTGTGTGTGTGTGTGTGTGTGTGTGTGTGTGTGCATGTGTTTGAGTGTGGGTGTCGTGTGTGTGCGTCATTTATTACTGTAAGTGTGAGTGTGTATGTATTTGTGTGAGTGTAAATCTGTGTATATATTTCTGTGTGTGTGTGTGTGCATGTGAGTGTACATTTGTGTGTGTGTGTGTGTGTGTGTGTGTGTGTGTCTGTGTTAGCACACACTGTTCCCCAGTTGCCCCTGTATTGTCACACGCCAGTTCCCCTGCCGAAGGAGAGAGAACAATCTCTTTAATGATCCCCCTCCACTCCCATAGTGTCACGCTCTGGCTCCGGGAC